TTTTATACCTCATTTTGTCACATACTTGCTCAGTCTAGAGCTTTAGTAAATAGTAAGCAGATTTTATGTCAAGCGGCATAGGTTAAAATGAGAAGTAAAATCATAATCAGCATGATGAACAACAAAAGACTAGCTGTTGTCACGGCTGCTGGTTACCTGCAGGGGTTGTGACTCAGTTAATACACTTTTAAGCTTCTAATAAGCCACTAAAGCACCACAGGTGATAAGTTGTTTTGCATTATTTTAAGTCTCACTAGATGCGAAGAATAAGTTTTACATGAATTTTTACATTTTTGTGTTTTATCCTTGTGACTACGGTAAGGGTTAATGAAAGGCAATAACTCGCTTTAATATGCAGAGATAACTTTTAAGGGTGAGCAATTAGTTACAAATAGTTAAATTTAAGTAGTTAGATACTCTTAGTCATTATGGATTTACATCGTCACTATTAAATTTTGTTTATTTTTCACAGTTTGAAATACATGTAATTTACAACATTGATTCTTAAATGATATTCAGATAATTACACATAAAACATTTATATTTTATAGTAACAATACTCAACAAAATATTTATGAGTCTTTTTAATTTGAAGCGCTCCCAGACATTTTGGCTAATTTATATCAATTTCCGTCTCCTTAAGCACCTTTTTTTAACAATTAGGAATTTGTCTCAATACACAAAAGAATGTTCTCACTAATTTCTCGTGTTTTATATCCTAACCTGTCAACCTATTCATAATGTACCAATGAAGGTTTATTTGATCTGGTAAAAGTTAAATAGTCCAAAACACATCAACAGATATTAAACAAATTATCGCTATGTCTGAAAGTAACTACAATGTCCGACAAAGGTTTAAATAAGATTCTTATTTAAAAAGAACTTAAAAAATAAAGGCATGTTCTTATGCTAACAAAATCAATTACAGCTTGTAGTGATGTAATGAAACATGAGTCAAATTCAAACTAAAAATATGGATTAGTGGTCAAAGACTATACAATTTAATTTCATTTTAGGCTGGCTCAGTAACTCTATCATCATAACAAATTCAAATGTCGCCAACGGTAATCCAAGACGAATAATTACAAATTATCAGAGCGGGCAGGAACTAATGCAGTGAACAAGTGGAGGTCAGAAACACACTCCTGTCTTACACTCCAAAAATCTCGGTTTAAAAACTGTCTATGTGTTTTGCATTCTGGTGAGAAAATAGAAATTATAGTAAGAGCTGAAATTGTAAACAATAGGGTAATTTACATAATAATAACTGTACATATCTTTGAAGAATAAATTTGTTTTTCTTTATTTGTTTCTTTCTTCCACGTTTCCTCTTCATTTTAGAATATTTGGAATTTATTAGAGATTTCTGATATTCTAAATAAACTAAATTCATTTAGAATGTATAGAAAAAGCTGCTAATTTTATTTCTTTAGTAATATGGACATTCAGAAGAAATATGAAATATATATATGGTAAGCTTCGGTTAGAGAGCTGATGTGGCATAATTTTTAGAATTTAGTGACACACTGAGCAATAAAGTTTAGAAATGGCAAAACGTTTAGAATTTAGAACAGGCATTGGAAGCAGAATTTAGAAAGGCACCAGGCAGCAAAATTTACGATCCACAAAAACTGCATCATATGGGAAAGTGCCTAGTGCCAGCCCTGTGTGTGATGCATTAAGACATATTAGATGAATCTTTTAAATTTTCAATTCTCAATATCTTTATTAATAAAAGAATTCCTTTCTATAATGCCTGTCCATATTATAGGATTAGAAGCGTTTTTGATATTTTCTATGTTTGTGTCTAGTGAAAAGTAGAGAAAATAAAGGGAAGATAAAAATATTAAGAAAAAGATTCTAGTATCATAAGTAAAAATTCAACTATAATGTTTTCATTGTTCTTCCAGAGAATTAAATTGCGAAGGAGCCAAGCTCTGGAGAAAACATGTACATTTTGACAATTCTGAATATTGAGACAATTACATGGGAAAAACCCTTACCATGAAACTATTAAAAATATATTTTTAATTAATTACACAGCTAGTTTGCTTTTGCTAAGAACTGTTTCATAAATGGTGCTTTATAGCACTATACCTTGCATATTTTCCACATATAATAAATGGCTGAAATGGAACTTTATTATACAGCAAAAAATAAAAAGGCTTTATTTTAATCTTATCTCATAAATAATTAAAAAATATTACCATTATTTAAATGAAATTTATCAATGTTAAAATGGTCTAAAAAAAACTGTCGAAAATATCCTAGATCTCGGAATTAAAAATTTTCTATAGAAACAGATCTTAAAATCGCCAAAATTATGATATTGCTAAACATCAAGTTCTGGAATTTTTGCCGATATTTTTATTTTATTATTAATGAGAGCTGAAGACCATCAAATATATATATATGTTACGGTGAAACACCGAAATCTGGACAATGTTGACATTCACCGGTGAATGTCAACATTGACATAGTCGCTTGGTGTATGTCCGAAATATTTTCCAAATACTCTTATTTCTGACATTCACCATGTACTAATGGTGAATGTTGAACATATAAGAATATTATTATATTTTCTTCTCCGTAATTCAGCGGCGAAAAAAATGGACTTGTCACTTGAAATAAGAACTTAAGAACATAAGAACTTAAAACACATAGTACATTCAAAATGAGAAAGGAAAATAATAGAAGTTAAAAACTTACTAAATTATGTGATTCAAATCTTATTTATTGCAATAACTTAAACTATTATGACACTTTGTATTGCACAAGTGGCCCTTGCATTTGCAATTGCATTTACTTCTGGAACACTTCCTTTTGCAATGATAGCGTGTACATATACTCCTCTCTTTTCGACCTATACCAGAGCGTATCTGTGATTGTCGACATACCCCAGTGAGGGTCCGAATGTACAAGAATGCAATGCAATATTCGATCTTTCACCGATGTATTTGGTGAATGTTGACATTCTACGGTGAAAGTTGACATTCTCGAATTTCGGTCTGCCACGGTAACATATATACATCAGGAAATTTATAATCATTTAGTTAACACTGCTGCAGACTTTTGGGCACTAGTTGGTAAATAAATTTGAGAACAAACGAAAAGAATCAGTACAACACAACAATTCTACACTACAGTATTTACTTTAGTGGACTTATGCTGTATTTTTTGCTATAACTGACACTGATATCTTACTAAATTTTTAAAACCAACTTTAAAAGTAAATTTATTGCCAGTTAGGGAATTAAATTCAACAGGTCAATAAAGCATAAAAACGATAAACATTTAAGAAAAGCGAACTACAACATAGCATGCAAGATATTTAGACCTGTGAGTTCATTCATTTTATATTCTTTTAGGACAGCCTGTTTTTCATACCTCTCTGGATTGAGTGATCTTTGCATATTCAACCGAAAATAACTATTTTCTAGAACAATGTGCACTTACAAATTTTAATATATATTTCAGTGCTAAATCAGAGCACTACAATTTTTTGAAATTTTAGTTGAACAGCAAAAATATGTCAAAGCATGGAAAGCTGTGATAGTGCAGTTTTACCTGCATAACAGTTAATGTTTGAAGTTTATAATTTTAACATGTATACAGAAATTTTTCTAACACACATTTAAAATTACTACAGAGATCACATAACAATGACATTTATCACCAACGTGATTTATCAATAAAAATTTTCCATTAGAATTTCAATGAAGAGCTTACAATAGCTTAAAATACTGTGCTATACTATTCTTCCTTAAAATTACACACAAAAAGAAAAAACAGATTAAGGCCATTTGTGACAGAAATAATTATAAAAGATACCAATTAAGAACTAAGATCACCAATAAAAAGTGAGTTAACATTTTTCTTTTAATCTTTGTTATTTGGAATAAAATACAGCTCTAATATCCTAAACAGGAATCATAGCTCATCCACTATTTGGACCTTTAAAAAATATGAATAATTAAATTGCCTTTAGCCTACATATTTAGTATGCTGCAACTGAAGGAAATTTTTTCAGTTATAACATTTAATTCAACAAATATACAGTTATAAAATATTTTTAAATTAAATAAAAAGCTTTAGATTATTTTGTTAGACAACATGATGGTAATTAAAAAAACTATGCCTCTTAGGTCAGTTATTTTGATATACAAAATTAAATAAAATGACATACTTGAAAACCTTTTTATTTTCAGAACACTGAAATCAAGATGAATGCTCTCAGAAATAAGAACACTACACTTAAAATTTAAAATAGCAAACAGCATGGCGAAGATCTGTTCAATTAGTTATTTTTTCAAATCAAAATCTCCAAAAAATAAATAAAATTAAATTCAAAGTACGATTTCACAAAGGACTTTCTTTGCTTGGCCAAATGCCATACAGATTGTCCAACAGAAAACTGCTTGATGTATGAGTTTCATATCAGAAAAAATACAAAACATTTTTGGGGAAAATTGTGCAGTAAATTAATGCTCATTTGCATAACTATACAGGTTTAATTTTTGTCACAAATATTTCAAATAAAATAAAAGAACAGACATTTTCTTTATCACACTACAGTAAAAGAAACTTTTTATCTGCATGTAACAAAACATACAATGTATTTCTCTCTAACTAAAATTAAGCTGAAACTTTACACTCACCAACACAAAATAATAAATTAATATTGCAATGCACAGTTATTATCTTTTGCATCAGAAGTTAGTAATAAGTTTACAATTCTAAACACAAAGAATCATTTAAATAAATGATATATAATAATGAAAATAAAATTAACATAAGCTCATTTCTACTTGATTTTGAAAAGAGGAAAGGTTCCAAATAACCACAGTTCTGATACCTGATATGTACTGTCAAGTGTTTTTGACTTTGTGCAAAAATCATGCAATTTCTATAAAAGGAATCAAATTTCATGCATGAACCATTTAAAAATCTAAAAGTCCATAAAATACAAATAATTAACATATCTGTGAGTAAAATACAACCTGGGTTATTTGAATATCTTGAAGAGATTCCACTCCAACGACGATTAGAATTAATTGTAGGTCCTCCACGACCTCTACCATGTGGCAAATTATTTCTCCCTCTGCCACCTTCAGTGTCAGGGTAAGATCTATCAAATCCACCACGTCTCAGAATAGGATAGTTGGGAATTGATCCTACTTGATTTCTAAGTTGTTGGTCAATTTCCATCTTATCTTGCCTTAATTTTTCAACTTCCTAAAAATTAAACTAGTTACTACAAAATCAAAGCACAATCAACTACTTGAAAATTAATATTTTAAAAAATTCATACTGCAGTTTTTATAGAACCAAGTTTCCATTTTAGTATATAAATTATGTTCAGAATTTTACTGGCTTTAACATACTTGCTTTTACTCAAGAGGTAGAGAAACTACCATAGAAAGAATTCTCTCTCTACATGTATACTGTGTGTACGAAAGTCCTAACCTGGCCACAATCATTGGTTTTAAACAATTACAAAAATGCTTTAAATTCTGAAATTATTCATGTTTTGTATTTTTAAAGACATCAAATTTATCAAAATTCAGAAATCTAATATTTTATACACACAAATTTAGGAAAATTTCATACTCGTTATGAAACACAAATGAATGGCTTGCCTCCTATATGAAAAACTGACCAAAATAATTAATTTCAAATTTTTGAATATTTTATACTATTTTCAAGCCTTGAAGAGTCTGCTAATAGATAAACTAAAATAATCCGAGGTTGATATTTCTCTCTTAGATGCCATTAGTGATAGCGTTTTGTGATTTAGAGTGTAATGGTCTTTAATTTATGAATTTGTTACTATTGGTACACCAAAAGAATTTTCTCAGTTTCAAAAGGCTCTAAATACACATTATTGATATTCCCATTCATTTCTGTTTTATTACTTTAAAATCAACCATACAAGAAACTTACAATCATAAAAGAAAAATTTATTAAACTAGAAATATTTTTAATTTATGCAAATATTATGTATTGGTTATGTGTCAATCCTGAAGCTTCATATTTCCTAGAAAATTAATTCTGTAAGAATCTGTAAAAATATCTTAAAAAAAAAGTATATTGATCAATACTTTTCAGGAAAATCTTCATAAAAATGCTTGCCTTAGAATTAGTTAACATTGGGAACTTTGTCTAAGCCGATATCTTATTTTTAGTTATGCACAAATGGAAAGTTTCCCATCTATAATTTGTGTATGGCTTACAACATTATCAACTTTGAATTGAAATAGCTGACCGTTCTTGTCATATGAGAGTCACTCTTCATATAATATTTTTTATGATTATAAAATTTTCCTAAATATATAAAAAATAATTTTCGTAGTTGCTATAAAACTGATTTTTCCAAATTTAAAAATGCAAAAATCATAAATATTTGTATAGTATACTGCATTTCTGCAACTGGAAATATATGTCTATAACAAATGGTTCCAAAACTTTTGTGAACACTGTACATATACCAATAACTATGACAGCTACACTAGACTACCCTGAACATATAAAAGCAACATAATATTTGCATTCACATCTTTTAAAGTGCAAATTTCAGTCAAAATTTTGATTCTGCATTTCTGACAGTGTTAAAATTGTATCATCTTTCTTTCAAATTCTTGTGCAACTTTACTCTCATTTGACCTTGAAACAAAGGCTAAACAAAATACAGTCAAAAGTCATTAATCCGGACTTCAGCGATTCCGGGTTATCGATTTTTCCGGATTATAGATCATCAGTTTAAATCTGGTAAGATGGCATGCCGAAATTATAAAATTAAAAATATGAAACCGTAATTTATGAAATAAAGAACAATTATGATTCCGGATTATAGATAATCAGTTTAAATCTGGTAAGATGGCATGCAGAAATTATAAAATTAAAAATATGAAACCGTAATTTATGAAATAAAGAACAATTATGATCTAAAGGGTATCAAAATTTACAAAAAGAAAAAGCTTAATATTTATTTGTTTACTTTATTAATTTAAACATTTCTTTCAATGCAAGTTGTTTAAGTTGCTTCGTTTTATGTGATAATACTTTTTCTTTAATTCTATTAAACAGACATAATTTCTTGTTCAGTTACAAAGTTCTGCTGTTCAAGTCCTATAATTGCTGTGTCGAGAATACCAACTAATTTGTCAATCGAAATTTTTCGTTTTCAATAACCTCTGTGTAACTTTCTTCACCATTGCAAGCAAATTATAATGTTGACGAATTTGATTTAAATCATATCAAAGACGGAATACATCGAGATGAAATACTACATTTAGTAAGGAATTATAAGCCAAATAAAATGAAAACATCTGCCCTGAATATAAGGATAGTGCTGACAGATCAACTTTAAATTCATTGCGCACCGTGGCGTGTCCCCCCCCCCCCGCAGCGCAGCGTGAAATTGATAAACAGATTTCGGAATGGTTAGGTTATTTTTTGCAGCAATTCCACTTTTGTTTAATGGACTTCGAAACATACTTTCGCTTTGTAGATCTTTTACATATTAGTAAATATATATCAGAAATTCTATTTGACATAATCGAAAGTTCAAGCTTACTTTTATAAAATTGCTCTAACAGTCTGCAAAAAATAATAAGCCAGATCCAATTTGAAGATTAAGGAACAGCGTAATCTGCAACATTAACTGAATTAGATAATTTTAGCTTAGCTTATACCGTCCGTTATACATTAAACGTGCATGCGTAAACGTATTTTGTGCATGCGCACATGCATATTTGCAGCTGTAAAGATATTACGCGCATGCGTAAAGGTCTTACGCGCATGTTTTTTGACTGCATTTGTTTACAAGTTCACTTCTTCAACCTTTGTTCTTATTTTCGATTATGTAACTGAATACACGCAGTCATCTATCACTTATGCAAATGTGAATGGATTAATGTATTGGGTTGATTATTGTATTGGGTTTTAAGCTAAAAAATAACACTTAGGATATTTACATTAATAAAATAATGCATACTATGCTACAAAATTTTATTTTTTGAAAAGTCTTCAACATCACTTTGCTTTTAAGGTGTGTACAAAAAGCCACTTTTTCTAGTTGTCAAACTATGTCACGGCATTTGGCGTTACATTTGCATTTTGAAAATGGTACATCACTAGTTCTATAGCTTCCAACACATTTTGTAAAACATTGAACACATTGAATAGCAATTTCATCTTCATCACCAGCATGTCTTTCAACCATCTCTCTGACATTTTATCACAGATAACTTTAACATTCCTCAAATCAGCAGTTCACAGATTTTCATGAAAATCTTATAAAAAATAAAATAGCATTATATCACATTATTTCATTTTTCTTCATTAATGTTAAGATCTGTATCAACTTAACTATTATCTGATAAAATGATCTATCTGTCATTCAACCTAAAAAAAACTTTTCTTCATAGATTCAGGCTGATTTAAGTTCATCTCAAGATGAAGTCAGTCATAACAAAAACTTTTTTTATTATCACTATTTATCTCTTTTTCTTCATCGTTTTTTCTGTTCAAAGCAAAAAAAAAAAAAAAAAAAAAAAAAAAAAAAAAAAAAAAAAAACCTTTAGGCATTAAATCTTTTATAAGATACACCTTTATTGACCTTAATACAATCCTAAGATGTAATGACTGAAGCTTAGCATGGTTTGCCAGGAAGAAAATGCATGCACTCCAACCTCTATCAAAACTCTTCAGTGGCAACAAGAGGAGAAAATTTTTAGAGCTTTCAATATGCATATTTTCTTCCAGTCACCAGTATATACTTAAAACCCGTAAAGGCAAAATAAAGACTGAAAAAATGAAAATACTTATTGTGCATTACATGCATATTAAATTTTAATTTTATTACTCAAGCAGAAATATTAACCTGCTGAGAGAATCAATAACTCACAGAAAAATACTGGATTTCACCATGAAATAACTGGACAAAAATTAAACTTTAGTTCTCAACTTACTGCTAGCAACATCAGCAGGTTTTAAAATTGGATCATCGAGAATATTTATCCATTGTTGAAAAGTAAGAATGTAGATGGCACTGCTCGGCAGCAGAATGCATGTAATGTAGAAATGAAAAGGGAAACTGCATTTTGGTTCATTAGACAGTAAGATTCCCATAAGGTTGGTCCACCTTATAATTGGACATCTGTATATATGTCTATACATAAAAGATGTAATAAATGATAAAGAACCACTTGATGCATTGTATTCCTGTATGCGCTGCCATTGTTTTAATGCTGATTTAATATGATGCATCAGAACCAGAAAGTTTCAATTTGCAAAAAACAAAGAAGTGAGTTTTATGTGGAGGGCCAGACGATGCCCTAAGAATTAGGTAAGGGCATGATTAATATTAAATTTTGAAAATATTTGATTTTAATTTTGATAATTTGCAGTTTTGGGTACATTTACGAATTAACATGAAATAATGGTGAAACTAGATAGATTAACCGTTTGAGTCCCAAGCAACATGGTCGTTCTGTTGAGATTTTATGTCGAGAAAACCCAGTAAATTTCGAACATTATGGACAAAATGAGAAACACTTAATGCAAGACTATGTCTGATCACTTTGCAAACTGCAATAAATGTGATGGAGCGATGAGAAAAAGACGAGAATCGCGATACCTAACAAATACAAGAAGTGCTGTTGCTCCAATTGGGATTTATCGATCTAAAATAAACAAAGCGCTGTCACACTGCTTGGTATTTCTCGACATACAATAAACAAGTGCTGTCGCGCTGCTTGGGTCCTTTCATGCTCATTTAGAGAACGCGCGGTTGCTCTGTCTGGGATTCTTAACAGTGTTTCTTCAATACCTCCTGGGACTCAAACGGTTAAAATGGAAGAGAACCGTATTGAGAACAATAGTTTCTAAACTACAATATTAAAGGAAGTCAAGGATAAGGTTAGCAAAGAAATATACAGATGAACTATGCAAAGTGCATGAATTGTTAATAGAAAGGAAAAGTAATTTGAATGAATTAGACGAGGAAATTCATTTCATAATTGAGATCGTCTAGAAGTGGACGTAGTTAGTTCCGAGGAATATCAGGGAAAATGTTCTTGGGCTACTAAATGAATTAATTGGGCGTTAGAAGACGATAAAATAAATATTTAAGATCATAAGAAAAATTTTGTTAGACTGCAAAATGTACAAAGTACTGTAAAACTTTTAAAACTACTGTTAGAAAATTATTCAGGTCATCCCAAAATTTTTTTAAACAGAAAACAGTTAAAAAAAAAGATGCACAGTCCTGAAGAAAAACTGAATATTTACAACCAAGAAATAATACCACGAAATATATACTCAGCAGTCATCTCTAGATAAGCTTCCAGACTGCCAAAAGGAATATACCCAGTTTACTGCTCTGAAAATAGCCTACATAATAAGTCACCACTGAGCTACCTGCAGTGCAAGATGTATTTTTCATCTGTTTAATCATGTCACTAATAGCTAATTTTGTCAAGCTAATAGCTAATTTAGGGTACAACATGCCACTCCCTTTCACAAAATACCCTTTCATCCAAATATGAAAACTGTTAATTTATTCATTTATTTAAACTTCTTGCATTAGTTTTTTTGGAATTCACACTCAACAGCTCAAACATAAACAACAAAGTGAGTTTTCCCAGAAAATTTCTTGTGCAGATCTGTCCTCCCAAATTTCGCAGAGAGAAATTTTTATCTTGTAGATGATTATGCAGTCCCTTTTTTAGACTTCAGTTATTAATGTTAAGCATTTTTAACATTAAATTTCTATCAGCATAACAATCTGTTATGTATAGATTGATTGCGATTTATAATGTTCTTAGGAGTGCCCAAAGCAAAAATACTAATAAATATATCTAAGCGAGTACATACATTTAACTGTGGGTGGCTCATATATCAGCAATGTACAAAATTATTAGAATTTTCTGCTACATCATAAATTTTACAACATACATTCCCCCCTTTTGAAGGGGAAAAATACAGAAAACGAAAAGAAACTTTTCCTTAAGAGGAACCTTTGAGTTTTATTTATAAGCATGTATTTCTATATACAGAAATAATTTTCCATTATCTTAATTTCAAACAAAATCCTAAAATAGTGTAGAGATATAAAGGAAGGTATGTTATAAGATTTAAATATTATACTAAGCATTACGACCACACACACACAGGAAAAAAATAAAGCATACCTAACATTACCATTATTGCAAACTGACAAATAGATAAGCTTTGCACAAAATAAATTGCAGATGTACATATTTACCTAATAACAATGGCAAGTAAATTCGATGCACCATGATAAAACAACATGATTTTTACTAGTGGCCTCCAATAGCAAAATGTTTTATTAAGCTGGCATGTTGCATTTTCTATCTCTAATTTATGTTTTTTTAAGAAAAAATTAATTTAAAGTAAAATTAGCTGTTTTATTTTTTAAATTGTTCATAATGCTAGTTTGTTGTGTTGCCGCCAAAACAAAAAAAATCTGATGTAGACGAAATGTATGTCTGGCTTTTTGCACTTGCACACTTTTTCCGTTTATGGAGACACGCTGACCAACCACACTGTTAAAATTTTCAGCCAACGTGATCACCTGTAGTTTGAAAAAAATAGGACATATAGGAATTTCTCTACCCACTCATCTTTCAATTAAAAATTAAATACCACAAATCACATACCAAAAAAAAAAAAAAAAGGATGAAAAAAATATGCCAGCTTCATATTCAGACATCATCTTTATCATTGCTGGCATCTAGCATTTTACTTTACAGTGGTTTGATAGGAAAATATTCCATTCATTTTATCTGCTTGGCAACATTTTTGCCTTTATGGCAACATGGTTGAACATAACTGGATTTTTTAAAATTTTGGGTAAATTTTTGAATAAAAAATGCTCTCTTGGCCTATACACTGATAGCCTATATTCGGAAATATATGGTAAATTCATTTTCGGTGGCAACAAGCTTTTCATGAAAAAAATATTTCTATTTTATGTTATTCCCACTGGGTAAAAATTCTTAATACTTGAACTTAAAAAAAATGAAAATTTTCACTACCCCCACCAAAAAAAAACTTACAGGAACTTACTTTTAAATGTGCTAAATGGTATTCAAGAAGTACTTTTGCATTAGTGATGCATTCCACAGTTCCAACAAAAACAAACGGAACCTAAAATTACATAAAGTACTCAGATTTTGAAATAACTGTAACATTTACAATTTGTAATAGTAACTACAAGTAATTACATTATGCCATTCAGAAAATTCACATAACATAAAGTTAATTTCACCTCCTCTCTGGGAGTTTGGTTATCATTATCACCTTCAATCTTCACTCTTACAACACCAGACTTGTCGACCATTTCTTGTATGATTCTACCATTCTTTCCAATCACCTTTCCTACAAATAAAAAAAATTCACCCACAAAAATTTAACATTAATGTAATATTAAAGTAAAATTATTTTCAAAATAAAAAGCTTTCAATCACACAAAGTAATTTTCTGTATATCATGTACATTATTTCCCCCCCCCTAAAAAGCACAGTGATGTAAACAACCATTTCTAATGATACAAATCATGTGTACTGTACATGTGCAGATTTTTGTCACTGGTAAACAGCAATGTAGCAGCTCAGCAAGCCTTTTAATCACACAAAGTAACTTTCTGTATATCATGTACATTATTTCCCCCCCCAAAAAAAAGCACAGTGATGTAAACAACCATTTCTAATGATACAAATCATGTGTACTGTACATGTGCAGATTTTTGTCACTGGTAAACAGCAATGTAGCAGCTCAGCAAGCCTTTTGGGGCCATTGCACATTATTAGATGGCTCTGCAATGAGACACCAAAGACCTGATGACATTCTACCTAAGATTTGCTGTACCTTCTGCAGCTGCTGCTACAGTTTTAAATATTCTAAGAATTTGATGGTTGTCCATAAGGTTCACAATGTGTCTGACTGGTAAGAGGTCTAAGAATCATGGTGGCAAATAAGGATTTGCAGAATATAAAGGCACTGCAAAAAATGTGTGATATATGATAAAAGATGTTATCCCCCCTGAAAAATGGTGCCCAGGAGCCATGGCATGGAATGGTAACAGCACTTGCAAACAACCATTTACATATCACTTGGCTGTTAAGGGGATATGAACTGAAACTAAGAGGGCTTATTATTATTAGAGATTGCAGGCACCCACAATATTATTGCATGGAGATAAAAACTTGAACCAAAAGTTGCAAAACAGTTATGTTGGGCATCATTGCCCTGTTCTCTGCACTGAGATATAATCATTATTCACATACATATTCTAGTAGAGGATGATGCAATCGTCAACATTTATCCATATAACTTGGACATAGCACCAATCCAAGATGATGCTGTAAATGGATGGCACTTGATAGGAGACACGATAAAAGCAAATTCCAGCTCGCTTCCATCCGACAGTATGAAATGATGCAAGAGGCCACAGGTGCATCTGCGCATGCATACACAAAATGGCAGTGCACCGTGTTTTGGATAATAACATTGCTAGCATGATGATGACCTGCAGCACAACAGTGATACTGCCTAGTAACTATAACTCTTGTTCATCCCAAATGCTCTCAATGTTCAAGCTAATAATCGCATACAACAACCTGGTCCAAGGATGCTGCACTGAACCGCAGTAGCATTCATATAAGTCCACCAAAACAAATATCAGGCAAAATAACAGGCCAATACTCAGAGTGACAAGCCTACTTGATACATCGCAATTGTATACTCTCACTTCCTCAGATGTGTCCAAATACCTGTGCAATCTCCATCTGCATTGCAACAGTATTCTCAGTCTCAAATACAGTTAGATTTAACAGCAACCAGAATGATCATGTTGACTCTGGTACATTTTATAGGGTATGATTTTAAAATTTAGTTTGGTTTATTATTGCCAAGAATGAGGACTATTAGCACAATGGGAGGGATGAATTTGTGGAGGAACATGTTTGTATCCATGTCACATATAGGGAAAACGCCCCACATGGTACAATGGTTAGGGGAACGCAGGTTCAAATCCCGGAGAAGGCATGGCTGCAAATTATCTGTTCCCTATAGGAGGTAATGGTGGCCACCTATTAGGTGTTTCCATAAAAAAATGGCCACCATTTCTGGCATTAAGAGTGGCCAATGCTGTTATAGGCAAGTGCCTGCCATTGGGGGTGGAACAAAAAGAAAACCATTAAAACACCCATGCAGGCTGTCCATCTGATGTGAGTTGACCCCTCTTCGAACTACCACTGTTTGGCGACATCCCCCTTGGCCGCTAGAGAGCACAAATAATATGGTTGGAATGCACATTGTCTATAATTTATGTTGAATTATCACTTAATCTTTTCCATTTTGTATTGCAAGAAATTCCTCTACTAAATTGTTTCTGCCAAGCTACATTATTCAGGTGACTTATTTATTTTTTGTAAAAGAGTGCATTAACAAAAATACAGGGTGTTTCATACTGAATGCGACATAAAGCATACCTGTGAACACTTTAATAACTTTATTTCGATAAATCAAACCCAGAGTAAAACATTCAAGTTTCTAAAGATGTTCTACGTAAACCCCTCTGGTGACACAGCAAATATCTATGCGATATTCCAGTTCCTGCCACACTCATCATTAATATCCTTTGTTAACGATTTGAGCACTTCAGTTATCCATTGCTTCAACTGTTGTAAGTCTGGGTAAACGCAGGCATGAACATTTTGTCTGTAACAAACCCCATAGGGTTAGATCTGAGGATCTTGGCAGCCGATAAAGCAATGGCATACTTTTTAACCCTTTGAAGGACACTGGTATATAATATATACCGGTTATTTGTCAATTTTTTAACCTCACCAAAAAATGCTAATTTTTCTACACCAAAAGCTGTAATCGTGTGTTTCAAGTGTTTCCTTTTGATTCTAAAAATGGCAGCACTGTCCAATGAATGCTCAGCATTTTGCAGTTACGAAATTAATTCACCTTATTCAAAGGTGTCATGTTTCAATATTAATTAATTCCATTGTAGGGGAGAAAAAATTCAAAATCTTCAAATATATGATGCACACATTCTGAACCTTATATATTTAATGCATTTCAATTAAAACTAATAATTAAGAGAAGATTATTTATACTTTTTTTTAATGCTGGTGTATATTATATACAGGCACCCCTACTGAGGGTACCTTGCCAATAAATGGCAGCACCTGGCTTCTCTTTCTCTACTCTGTGAGATGACAGGATTTCTTTATATTTTAAGAGTATATAATGTAGTAACTTGTTTATGATTAATTTACAAGTTGTTTAGTATTCAATATTATGCTCGGAGTGGATGGGGTGTTTAATAACCCTGTGCTAGCACTGAATACAAGTATATTATTTTGTGTTTATTCTGTCTACTCCACTCAAGTTTTTCATTCGTTTGTTTAGCTAAAATTTTTATTTCAGCACTTCGCCCGTTCCCACAAGAAAAGACTCATCAATTTGAATAATTCTCGTCTGGCATCAAAACATTAAACAACTGTTGGAAGTTGAGTGTGGCAAGTTAGACCCTAAAGACACCCGTCGTTTCATGTTTTCCAAAATCCTACAATGAAGCTAAAATGAAAAGATGTGATTGACGTGCAGGTGTCACACCATCTTCGCAAAGGAACTGTGATAACATCACACAAAGGGTGTGCGTGTGTGTGTGATTATGGCAAAGCCTCGAGGGCTATCTGCCTAAGGGGAGGGATGCCTTCGTGGAGGACTTTCTAAGGGGGAACTGGCTCGTATACACGTTACACATGGGGAAAACCACGAAAACGCCCATGCAGCCAGCCCGTTTGCGGGATTCGAACCTCGGATCGAACTACCAGTGTTCAGCGACTTTACCGCTCGGCTGCTGGTGGGCTCTCACACAAAGGGAAAGCTCACTTAAAAATACGGGATATTGGAAATGCACTTTAGCTCCATCTCTTAGTGTAATGGAAAAACTGCTGATTTGAAAGCATGCTTTTATTCCATTAGGGTATTTTCTTTCTTACTTTCAGATAAGAGACTAGGGAACACAAAGGAAATTGGGTTAGCATACAAATAGGTGGTTTTCGAAATAAATTGTCACAGTCGGTGAAAGGACGGAAAATATTTCTAAGGCCAGCTTTAGATGCAAAACATTTACCTTTGGAAGGAATGGGCAAATTTTTTAATATTTTAGAACAGTGAAGTTTCGTAGAAAATGCTTAAAAGAGGACTCTCTGTGGAGGAAGCATTTACTCTGAAGAGATTCCTTCTGATGGCTCACATATTGCCGTTCTAATACTTCTAATGAAGAATATTCAGCATAAAATAAAGAAGTGTATGTCTCAAATGAATCAGACTCAGATGAGAACCAAAGAAAATCTGGCAACCAACCCTGCTACAGAAACCTGCTAGTTTTTTTGGGGCGACGCCATTTTGTTTTCACGAAGTAAAGGCATGTTTTTTTTTACTCGACATTTTTTTCCAACAATCTACTAGCCGAATTACGCTTATGCTAGAACTTTTATGAAACAAAAGTGCTTAATCATGACGAACATTAGGTTCGAAATTGGAAGAAAGTGCAGAATCGCCCACTGCTTGCCGCGTTTTTTAAGAATTACACATACACGATATCCATGTACACGTCAACCTATTTTTTACTTAAAAAAAATCCCAGAATTTGCACAAAAATGGCATGCGCAACATTCTTGACTTTATCCATGAACACTGTTAAAGTCCTAGCTAGTAACCTTTATTGCCTTACCAAAATGTCGCCAAACTACCTGTTACCATATTCCAAAGATCAGCCAGTTAGTCGTTGTATGAGAGTTTTTGAAATAAGGAAGAACACAACAAGGGAAAACATCTGTATAACATATTTAGAATTGTTTTGATGTTATTAGTTATATAAATTTTCTTTGAAAAAAGATTATGAAAAAGTCTAACATTTCTTTTTTTTCCATTACAAATATATTATTATTATTTGTTTCATTATACACTTCTTTTTAAAGTATATCAAAATTTTAAAAATTTTCTATGGTAATATTAACAAAATAATATAACCTGTGCTTGTGAAAAAGGTTGAAAGATGGTTCCGCAGGATACATGGCCCTGATAATCGAAAAAAAGGGGGCTTCGAGGTGTACTAGTACTTTACTTCAATTGCAGAGATATTCTTCCTCAACTAAATTATATATTACTACCTTATTTATTCAAAAGTTGAAAAGGGGCCCTTAGGAGGCCAAAGGGGCTGAAAATCTAAATAAAAGCTTCGAGGTGTATAAAATAATAAAATTGTTTAACAGCATTTCTCCCTAACAACATAATATATTACAACCTATATTTACAAAAAATTAAAAAAGGGGCCCTTACGGGCCTTGATAGTCAAAGATGTGTGTATGCGGGGTGGGGAGATTTTTTGTTTCATAGCATAAAGGGTGCTCTTCTTTATATGTTATCTAAAGCATAAAATATAATAATTTTTAAAATGCAAGTCATTTTTTAAATAGACATGTCAGAGGATTAATAAACTTGACATGTCAGAGTCATAGAATTTCATTTTTCAATTTTGGGCTGAGTTACACCTCCTTATAACATTATAATAGCTCAGTTACAGCATGATAGGCTTACACATGCAGTGTTATATTTACTAAATTTTTTCAAAAATAATTATATTGAATTTAAATCAATTTCAACATCTTTTTACCCATATTTTACATAAATATGTTCAGCTGGATTGCATCATCAAAATACATAAAAACCTTAATTTATAAAATTTTAAATTTCTAGTTAAATTTTAAGTTTTTGTCTTCAGATCTGCCTAACTATATTCAAGCACCCATCTTTACAGACGCACATCAAAAGCACGCAAAGTTAAATTAAAAAACAAAAATTAACAATTGGTAGCTACCGGGGAAAAAAATATCTTAGAGGGGCACCAGCATAAAATATATACCAGCTCACAAAATTCAGGATTTCGCTCGTCTCAATTTTATGTTCTTAGGGTCCATAAGTTACAATTCATGCAAAGTTTTACCACAATTTAAATTATTTTATATACTTCCCGTCAAAGGGTTAACATAGCATAACCAATCCAGCGATGGGCTAGACTAATGTTTAAATACTGCCTAATGTTTTTATGCCAACGTGATTCAGCACAATCTTGACGCAGAATGAAGTTGAGAACCACTTCCTCCAAGTGAGAGCACAATACTCTGAAAGTGTTGGAAAGTGTTGGATAAAAAAAGTGTTGGATATGATGCAGAAAACATTCATTTTTGGAGAATCATGTTCTTTTATAACACATGCATACTTGATGCTTATTGGGGAAGTGGTACATGATGTTTTCGAATTGTGTGCTCTCACACACAAAGCATAAGCGTGCGTGCTATAATGTCTCACTAATGAAACAACTTTTGTTTTCTTTATATGTTACTTAGAGAAAAACTGCGCTCTTTTAGATGACAAAAATACCTTTTTTAAAATTAATAATGAAGCATTAGGTCAAGCTACATAAAAATCGTGAGAGATTTTTCAGAATAAGAGAAAGTCCGCAGAGATATATTGTAAATTGGGTTAACTGGAGTACAGTTGGAAATCGGAAGAGTTGACAACTCTGAATGTGGATTCTTCAGATCCCCAAATCCTAAATTATAGTGATTACTTTTGCCATAAACATGAAGAGGGAATTCAACCGTAAATATACTATTCACAAAACCATCCACCTCCAGCTTGTTTCACAAATTCTAAAGGAAAGCTTTGCACAACAGTTTATTGGAAGGTTTTAATGCCTGCACTAGCTGAAAGGTATATGGCCGGAACTGTAGATGTTTCCATAACACTGTTACATGAGGCACATTGAGTTCAGAACTCGCACATCTTGATTTTGTGGGACTTTGTAAAAAAATATGAATTATTTTCAACCACTTCAGTTTTGGCTGCTGTTCATTCGGGGCTGGTTTTCTTATAGAAACAGCTGAAACTGCTTTAACTACTGTTCGATGTTGTCAAAATAAGGTGGTTCTTTAACCTATTCTGTGCAAAATTGTCATTGAACAATGGTTAATGATGGTATTTTCATGTATTCTAACACTCAGCATGCTTTCTCCTGCACGGATGGCTTCATTTTGATTAATGGTGCCTCTAGTGGCGATTTTGCAACCGGAAGATTTTTTGCTGTTAAATAAAACTTGTATATTTGTAGGTTCAAAATTAATTTGTTTCAGCTTTAAAGCAATTAAAAGTATTTGTACTATGATATTTTTTGTTCCATTCAATATGAAACACCCTGCATAAGCCCTAACTAATAAAATTAAATGTAAAACTTATTACCAACTAATGAACGAGGAACTTGCACAAGTTCTTCAGAATATTCTAGCATATTTCTAGCTTTACGAACAGCCTCTTCAGACTAAAAGAAAAAATTAATACGAAAAATTAAAATAATAAAATTTTAAAATAGGATTTTATTTCACTCTACACTTTGAGTTCAAAGATTTAAAACAAATCAGGAATTAGTAAAAGTCAGCTTACATCACCATAGATTTTAAAAGTGCATGTAGCTTCTTCTAAATCAATTCCTGTCACACCTTCAAGTTTTCTAGCATTTTGGATGTTAGCTCCATGAGCACCTATAGCTAAACCCATTAAGTCTTCTCTTACTTGAAATTCTTCTACATAGCCTGAATTTGAATTCAACCGAGTATTCTAAAAAAAAAAAAAAAAAAAAAAAAAAAAAAAAAAAAAAAAAAAAACAGGAATAAAATTCAAGTGGTAATATCATGAACATATATACACAAGGAACACACACAAACGCAAGACCAAAACCTCCCAAACAGTTTATACCAATTCTTTATGAGAAATGACAATATGAATGTATTAAAAAGCTTTCATATTAAAAAGCTATGCTTGCTTAACTACTGTCCACTAATCTATCCTAGATATCTCTTCAAGAAAAATGGATCTTCTGCTTCATTCGTCAGCATTACAACAGGTTTTGTATCCAAGGACCACAGGAGCCACTAAATAGTCTGGATAGCAGAGAATGTCTCTTAAAACATACACGCACAGTAGTTACCTGGCAGAGCAGCTCTAAAGGTGGTAGAAGTGTCATGCTGCATGTAATTGACAGAGACTAACTGTCCACTAACTGCTCAGAAGTATAGAGAGATCTTAGAGCCCTATATGTAATTTTTCAGCACAGTTTTTATGAATAACAATGTTTTTTCATATAGCGGAGGATGAATATCTTCAAAATAAGGATATCTGGTGAATGGACTACCCAACCAAATCTTCAGACCTGAATCTAATTGAAGCTGTGTCAAACGTATTCAGAAAGCAACTGCCTACGAGGACCATTCTGGAGCTAAGAATCACTTTGTTGCAAGAGTGGTCGTGGCTGCAAATGACACATGAATGCCTTATTAAGCCCTTAACTGCCACAGGCATATATATATGCCTTGCTCAGCTGATGCATTAACTGCCCCAGGGGTATATATACACCCTTCCAAAATGCTATCATTTGCTTTGCACTGTTACCAGTTAAATAGTTCGCAATGCTTTTGGAGGGGGGACGTTTCTGAAACGGTAAAAGTAATGACTGCGTGATTCTTGGTAGTGTTTCTGTTTTCCTTTACTGTTTGTATTAGGTACATTTTTTACGAATATGTCTGATAGTGATCACTAATTACTGCAGTTATTGCTCGTGTTTCTGTTTGCATAAAACATACTTCTTTTATTCTGTGTCTTTCGTTCCATTTTTACGAATGTGCATGACAGTGAAACAGATTATTACTTTCCGTCACCTGCAGGATCGGTAGATGGTAGAATTCAGGTATTATCATTAGGAGTTTCACGTGTAGAAACCTTGCTTGGCTGAACCATTCTAGTTTTTTTGGATGAAAACAGAAGTAGTTACCTGCATTACACTTGGCCTAAAACTTTCAGGTACAAGAAGAGATGTGGGAGTTAGAAACTTCGGACATTCATGATCAAAGTGAACAGAAAAACAAAAGGATGACGAAGATGAAACTAATGCATTTAAAGGAAATTTTAACTTTTACCAGTGAGAATTGTTATGAGGTGGAATTACCTAGGATAGTGCTGCATCCTCCTCTCCAGGATACCTATGACATTGCTGAAACAAGGCTGCAATCTGTCATGAAACAGTTACAAAGAGAAGATATCATTAACAAATATGAAATGTTTTGTGCATTGGGAGAAAGAAGGCATAACAGAAGTAGAGCCATTTGCTATTAAGAGTACCATTCATTATTTACCTTGCAGACCGGTAATTAAGTTACCAAGTACAATCACAAAGATCCCCACCTCTCTTCAATGCCTTGGTAAAGGTTCCTGGCTGTGTTTCCTTAAATGATTGTCTGAGAACAGCACCTACATAGCAGGACTATTCTTATATAGCCGGTTCCCACACTATTGAACAGATTCCTACTGCATGCTGTAGGAATAATAACAGGCATCAAACAAGTTTTCATGCAGCTTAGTGTACAACCAGATCAAGACACACTTCAATTTTTATGGTAGAACGCTCCTAGAAAATTAAAAGAATACAGACATTGTTCTATAGTGTTCGACATCATAACAAGCTCTTTCTTGCTAAATGTGACTATTTCACATCACATAAGTTTAGAAAAATATCAAACAAAAGATTGAAATTTAGCATTGAGAAGCTAAAAGGTTTTTATACTGACAATAGTTACAAGTGCAGATGAAGAGGAATTACATCTACTCCAAAAACAGGCTAAAAACTTAATGCAAGAGGGATGTTTTAATTTATGTTGCTGGTCTCGCATAGGAACTCAGGATGAGAATCAAAACATACTTCTCCTTAACCTATGATAAATTGAACTGTGCTCTGCTAGAGACTTAAGTAAAATTACAAGAGTTACAAAAAGAAATTTACTTTCCATGACACCCCCCATCAGTTTTACATCAAGTACTGCTGCTGCTGAAGCTACTGTAGCAAGAAACCTGGAAAAGAAAACTTAGTAGGGACAAACCACCTCTTCTAATGAAACACAATGAATGATCAAACCATCTATCCCTTGATGACATATTTCTATTCCCCGACAGATGTCCACAGGATAAAGTGAAGCTGCAGCACTGCATATCTTTTTCAGACGGATCTGCAAATGTGTATGTTTGTTGTGCATTTTTACAAAGAAATATTTTTTATTAATGTGCCTTGAACTGCTACTTTGTTTTGGTTTTTTTAATCCAATCTATTATGCTTGACAGTTTGTTTTAATTTCTATTGATTTGTCAATTAGATCCTCTTGACCCAATTCTTCAAGTAAAAAGATGTACCATTTAACTTCACATGCACATTCACAGAATGCTAAAAGTTCAGCTTCCATTGTAGATAGAGCAACTATTCTTTGTGTTGCACTTCCAATTTATGAAATTTTTACCTAATTTAATGAAATAACATCCAAATGATTTTTTCATCTTCAGTGGTACACCAACTTGCATCTCATTTAGCATTTAATTTCCCATTGTCTGAAGTATACACTAAACAAGCATTTTGTGTTCCTTTAATATATCTAAATATCCTCTTTACAGCTTTCCAGTGTTTCTCTCTGGTATCTTGATTATATCTTGACAAATTACTTACTGCAAAAGTTAAGTCTGGCCTTGTGCCTGTTGCTAAGTACATCAACGAACCTAATGCTTCTTGACATTTTGCCTTCGACATGGGTGGCGAAGATGCTATGTCATCGAGATTTTCACCCAATATTCCTGGAGTCCTGACAGGTCTACATTCATCCATTTCAATTTTTTTAAAGATTTTAGTTATATAGTTTTCTTGACTGAGTATAAGTTTTCTAGATTCTTGCCGGATCTCTATTCCTAAAATTTTTTGTGTTTTAGTGACTTCTCATAATGTGAATGATCTAGACAGTTGAGAGATGATGTCATTTATCTCAGAATTTGAATTTCCAATCACCATTAAGTCATCCACATATACTGCTATGATAAGATAGTTGATCTTATCTTTATAAAAATAAACACACGAATCTGACTTTAGTTAAATTCTTTTCTTTAAGAACTTTACATAATTCATTATACCAGCATTTTTCTCATTGTGGTAATCCATATATACTTTTGTTTACAAGATATACACTTTGTTCGGATCTGATATAAATCCAAGTGGTTGTTCCATGTAAATTGGTTTATTCCAAGTATCCATTTAAATATGCAGTTTTTTACATCGAAAAAATCTTATTTTGTAGTTTTTTGTAAACTGCAATCGATAGCAATGTTCTAAAGGTTGCAAGTCTCATTACTGGGCTAAAATCCATCTTCATAATCAATTCCTTTTCTTTGATTAAATCTGGTTACTACTAGTCTTGCTTTGTAAATTATTTCTAAATTACCCTTTTCATCCCTTTTTGAGAATATCCAGCAGTTTTTAATAACTTTCTTATCGATGGGTCTTTCAACTAATTCCCAGACTTCATTAGCCTCCATTGAACTCAGTTCTACTGTCATTGCATGCAGCCAGAATTCACTTTCAGCAGATTCTACAGCTTCGTCATACATCTTAGGTAATTCTTCATTTATATTGTATACTATATAATCTTTCAATTTTTCTGGAGGTTTCGTCATTGGCGCTGGTCTTTTCTGTACAAAATTTCCATGACTATCATTTCCAGGTTCTTTATTTATTTGTGGATACTCGGTTGGCTTTTCTAATGAATTGTTATCGTCGTGTTCATCATCACTGTTGGATGGCAAAATTTTCTTAGCTTCTTCATCTGTTGTATTATCATCTCTATAGTATCTGTCAGTTATTTCTGAATTGTTTACATTTCCATTAGTTTGTTCCTTATAAAAATAATAAGTTCTTCTAATATTTGATTTTTATCGAATTTAAATAATTTCTTTTTAGTAAAAATGATCCGAGTTTCTGTTCATCAAATTTTACATCTCTCACTTTTTGAATTTTATTTAGTTCAGGGATATAAATTTTGTATGGTTTTCTTTTCATGCTATAGCCTATCATAATTCCTTTTTGAGCTTTTAGATCCATCTTTCTACATTTTCTCGTCTTACATGAACATATGCTTCACATCCAAATCTTTTAAGATAAGCAATGTTAAGCTTGCGTCCTTCATATAGTTCATATGGTGTAAACCTTTTATCATTTTTGTGACTCCTGTTATTCACATGTACAGCTACTTTAACACTTTCAGAACAAAAGTTTATCGGTAATTCTGCATCAATTAACATAGTTCTAGCAGATTCAATTATAGTACAATTAAAACGCTTCAGCTTTTCCATTACTTTCCGGAGTATAAGGGTTGTAAGTTCATTTTTTAATTCCCATTTTTTCAAAAAAAAAAAAAACTCTTATACTTTTAGCTAAAAACTCACTACCATTATCACTACGAATTCTTTTTAGTTTCTTTCCTGTTTGTCTTTCTTCTTGATAAGTTTGATTAGAGCTTCTGAAGTTTCACTCTTCTTCTCAATTGTTATCACAAATATGAAATTACTGTAATCATCTACCACTGTTAAAAAATAACAGCTTCCATCTATTGATTTCTCAATTGGTCCAACTAAATCTATGTGCCATAATTCTAAAATATCTTCAGATTGCTTAAATTTCACACTTTTATAAGATGTTCGTGTTATTTTTCCTAATGTACAAGGTTCACAATTGTTTTGAGAAATTTTTACATTTT